GTTATAACAGCCTGGTCTCTGTCTCCTCTTACACCCCAGGAGATAAAACAGGGCAATGACTGGCTTTCATTCCCTCTAGAACAGACAAGGAGAAGGGATGGGTGACTAAGATTGATTACAGCCTTTAGGAACCAAGCAGAGCAGAATTTGCATTGATTCGTTCAGAAGATGATTAAGCCATGTAAATGAATACAGCATTTCAAGTGACAAAGAAGGCAGTATCCACAACTGAGTCATCTGAAAGGACTGCAAACAGCTTATGGCTTCTAATATTCAAAACACATAACTTGGAAAACTTCATGAACACAATTACAATTTTTTTATTACTAGCTTGTTCTGAGACTTGGCTGATAACAAATCTAACACCTACACTGGGTAAGAAACATCGCACATGACAGAGTCATAGACTTTGCCCAACAACTGAATAATAGAAGCTATTTCATTGCTGGGAATCACCATGGGGGAGACAATTTTTCTCACAGCAAGGGTAGGCTCTGCAACCTTATAAGGAGAAGTACTCAGTACAAATGCTTGGCTGGAGAAGTTTCAACCCCCAAATTAATCCCTGTTTATTTGACAGCAACTTCCCTATAGCTCAACAGTTTCCTTGCCACTTGTGCTAGTACAGTAACAGAACACCAGGCAGAACCGAGACTTCTGCTAGAATAGGTCTTAAGTGGCATCATTTTTCAAGATTCCAAGAGTCTTCCAAGTGCTGTGGGCACTGCAGCTTTGAGGGACAAAGGGTTGGGTGTGGAAAAGAGAGCCCATAAGGCTCTCCAGGAAAAACCCACTGTAACAACTGGGGGCTTCCCAATTAATCCTGATTGTCACCATTACTTTAAAGAACATCTCTGTCCATATGTTGCTCCCCAGTTCCTGTTCACATGGGATACAGACGTACAGACATGGAAAAGAGAGGTGCCATGGACAGCAGGAATATCTGCTGACCAGTGACAGGCTTCAAAACACCCATTTATATTGCCCCTCTGCAAATGAGTTCCATACCCCACCCACAGAGAGCACAAAATGTCTCTCCTGTAAACATTAAACACTCAGGTAACTTTCCTCAAAAGGGCCTTAGAACACTAACAAATTAAAAGTAAAACTATTAACATTTTAACTAGTTCAGACACTGCTGAACTTTAAAAAGAAAGTTCTGGACACAGATATCCTTAAATCAGCATGACGTTCATTTTGGACTGAATTACTAAACAGTGTATTATTACAAGATTCTTCTGGTTGCAGTTCAGAGCAATCCATTTGTGGAAAAGAACACACCCCAAAATACTGCAGGCCACAGTTTGATCTCATAAACTCAAGAGTCACAGAGCATGTATGATTTAATATACACAACCAGGAATTTATGATGTGACCCTTGGGGTGTCCTGTGCTGGGCCAGGAGTTGGACTCAATGATCCTGATGGGTCTCTCCCAACTCAGCACAGTCTGTGATTCTAAATATCTGGGGCTATGTCAGGTAATGCTGAGTATGGGAACATGGTTTTATTACTTAAGGAAAAGAGAAACAACAAGCAAACAACAAATAAGTAGCTATTTTGCATATATTATATTTATGATAAAAAGTAATCATGTAACTATTCAACTGATATCTCTCTTTTTTAAAAAATTACAATATGTTAGTACTTTTGGTGTGTGAAAGAGCTCAATCCCTTCCAGCTGACTCAGCTGTAAAATCAGCAGCCCATAAAGCCATCCAGAGTTACAGATTCTGTTAACCAAAATCTAACCAGAGAATGGCTGTACCACGGAAGGACCATTAACATGTCAAATAACACGCCTGCATTACAAATACAAGGAGAAAATGTGGAAATTTGCTGGAAAATTTATCTTGGAACACAGTATAAACAATGTACCAACCAAGCCATAACTCAAGTAATCTTGGTTTTCATGAGCAATTTTGGCAATTGTTCTATATCCCCACTGGAAGTTACTTGGAATGAATACTTGCTACTGCAGAGAATTCCAGCCATCTATAAACTCACTGAGCCATCTCACAATTCCAGAATTCACTTGGAACCCCTGCCCTCTGCTCCTTCAGAGAGTGGGCAACAGATTTTAGGACTCCTCCTTGTGTTTTTTCCATTTCATATGAGATCACTGTATGTGTTTATTTAGAAGGTCAGAACTTAATTAATTTGCTTTGTCACTCCAAGTGTCCAGCAGCTGCCTTGAAACACAATCCGGTCTCACACCGAAATTCCGTTATCCAGTGTGGCAATTGCCAACAACCCTGCACCTCAACCCACTTGTTAGGGTTGAAATTTAACTTCCCCTCTTGAAGAGAATTAGTTGCCTGAAAAGGGAACTGTGACCAGGGCCAGTGTAGGGGGTCCTTGCCATGTTCTGGTACTGCTTTCTAGGAACTACGAGAGAGTGGTTTCTACCCCTCTCTACCCTTCTCTGACGAATCACTCTCACATACAGCCAGATACAAACTGCAGTCAACCCAAACCTATTTTGTTTGTCCTGATCTTTGCATTAAAGGTGTGTTAAATGCAAGTCTGGGGATTAATCAAAGAAAACCAAGTATTTTAGCATTTAAAGCACTATTTACTGTTTTCAAAACGTGAGAGAACTAATCAAAGATCCCTCATAGAAGCCTAACAACATAACGTGACAATTTGTGGGTTTTGTTTGGGGAATTCTTTGTTTTAGAAGCAGTTAAAGGTTCGTGATGAAAAGCAGCAACAAGGACAATTAATAAAAACAAGTTTGCAATGATCCATAGCAAGGATAATGGAATGCCTGATTTATAATTATCTTCATAGAAGTAGCCCCTTTATTTTTTCACTAAAATGAGGTAACACAAGGAATCATAAATATTAAAGACTGACAGCTCTAGCAATGTTTCTACCTATAATCTAAATTTCCTGAAGTGCTTTGCTCAGACTCTGAATACATAATTAGCATGAAAGCATACACACACTGATGTCTTATTTCCTCTTAAGCACCTTTTCTGTCCTGGCTGATCAATATCCTAGGATTCAGTGGCCTGTTTAATTCAAAGTTGCAGCTACCAGCAACAGAAAGCCTTTGATCCAGTTTGACAGAGCACTCAAACCTCTGCTCTTGCTAGAAGGTTACTGTGGACCACCGAAAATATTTATGCAGACCTGAAAAGGAATAATCATGAAGCCACCCAAAAATACAGAGCAATTTAAGCCAGGTTGCTATGCTGGCTCACTGATATCAGGTTGCTCAACTCCCGCACAGCTACCCATGGGACAATTTAACTCTCACTCTCACTGTCACACAACAGTTTAATTTCACAAATTTATAATTTGAAATTAGGATGAATTTAGCTGATCTTTGGCCCACAGAACAGAGTAACAATGTGCTGTGTCAATGCATTTCACTAGCAAAGCTGACTTTTATCAGCATCTTGATTTACCACATAATCTAAAGTGTTAAAGAGCACTTTTTTTGTAGGTAACCCAGGTAGCAGATAAAATACAAATAATTCAGACTGCTGAGATACACTTATCTCAGTACACGTACCCAGTTTGTGATGCAGTACAGGGTCACACATACACAGGTGCCTGTGTAAGACCCTCGCAGGATGTTAACAGCTCTAAAGCCGTCTCCCAGCAGCACAGGACCTTGCGAGGATGAAAAACCGTAGCCCTGAGCCTTGGCCTGTGCCTACGGAAACAAACCACAGTCCAGCTCAGAGCTGAAAATAAACAGCCAGCGAGGCAAGCCAGCTGCGCTTCCTGGATGGCAACGGCACCTGTGTGTCTGTGTGTGTGTCTGTGTGTGTGTGTCTGTGTGTGTGTGTCACTGCAAAACGTGTGCACAGGAACACACCGACACAGGGACACCGGCGCAGAAATCCGCCCCCGCAGCGGGGCTGCGGACGGACCCGGCACGGGCAGGTCCATACGGGCGGTGACCCATCGGCACCGCCAGAGCCGCCGCCCCCGCCTGCCCCGCACCACGGGCTGTGCCGCCGGACGGAGACCCGGAGACCGTGAGGGGCGGTGCCGATGAGGGGCGGTGCCGGTGAGGGGCGGGGTCGGTGAGGGGCGGGGTCGGTGAGGGGCGGGGTCGGTGAGGGGCGGGGTCGGTGA